GTAGGTTAGCTTTCAGATTCGTACAGCGGCCGAGGCTATTCTGAGAAACAGAGGCTGACTTCCTCTTTCGTTTATCTTGTAACCTTTCACCTGTCTTCTTTTTAAGTATCGGGGTGTCCAATGATGAACACGATACGCTGCAGACACTGTTAATGGGTAAATCCATTATTCCCAGCTTTTCTAGCATATCTAGACCAAGAAGATCAAAGTTTGGCCGTTCTGTCAGATAGCATATTCCTCTACACTTTGTTCCGTTGAAGGAAAATTCACACTGGAACTCACCAACCAGTTTTAACACACCACCTGAAGCGCTTTTAACTGTTTTCTTAGATGGCTTCATTGGCGGTTTTCCCAGCGAGTTGTACGTTTCTCTAGACATTAGGGTGATATCTGATGCCGTGTCGATTTGGAAACGAGCTGATGCACCGTTCATCTGGATAGTAACATACTTTCTCCGAACGTCATATTCTGTTTGAAAAGCAGCTACGAGAGAAAGTGATTTAGACTCGGCTGATTTCACCACATGTCGAGTACGTTTGCGCTTCTTCTTCGGCTGAGACGTACGATTTGGTTGGCAATGGCCTTCTTTATGTCCACGTTTATGGCACATCTGACATTTATGTTTTTTAAATGGACAAAATCGTACGTAGTGCCAATCACCACATAACCAACATGCCGTCGTTGGTTTGTTACGAGATGCTATCGGCTTCTGGACTTTTAACCTAGTAATAGCATTGACACTACTGCTGGTTAAATTGTGATTTACCTGTTCAATCAACATGTTGTCGTGCCTGATACTTTGTAGGCGTTTACACTCATCTGTCAATGTTCTGAGTGTGACGTTAGGGTCTTGGTCCATTCGAATCAAAAGTCTAGTTCTGGTTTCCGCATCTTGCGGTGACTGAAGAGCTTTGATGAATATTAAGCATTTAAATTGGTCTTCCGTCAACGAGCGTAACTTGAACCGTTCACATTCTCTGTTGACGACGTCTGCAAGAACCGCATATTCATCATCTTCGTGTTTCACCAGATTTAGACAATGATATCTAATACTAAACAATGATGCTGATTCGCTGAAAATATCTGACAGCTGAGTTACTGTCTCCTCGAAACTGAGCTCTCGAGGTAACTTCGGTAATACGTGGTCAGCGTAACGTTCATACTCATTGCTTCCCAACTTACGCAGCAACAACCGAGTCTTCCATGCATCGTCTTGTTTACCGAATTCAATTCTAAATGTATCTTCCCAACGTTTGAACCACGTCAGAAAAGTATTTCCACATTCAGGATTATAGACGAATTCTGGTATGCTGTTTGCCACTGCTTCACAAGACGTATTTGAAACAGTATGTGGACTCGAACACTGGATGTTGAGCTGTTGAGTTAGCATCTCCAACAACCGCATTTGTGCATCTAATTGTGCTTGCTGTTGTTGTAGTATTCGGTTAAGCTGATCATCTGAAATAGGCATCTTGAAAAATTTTTTTCCTTTTTCTCCGTCGCCACTGTTGTAACGGTTTGCTTAGATATTTCCCGGCTAAATCTTATTGCTTAGTATTCTTGACACAAGACACTGGACAAGCAACACAAATCAGAACACGGTTGAACAGGAAGGATTGTATTCCAAAATAGCAAGGAAAGAAGCTGGAGGTGATGGCGAAAGCCAAGGCAAAAAGGCTTGAAGGCGAAGAAGGCTAAGAAGGCTAGAAGGCGAAGATAAATACAATGCTAGTCTATTTATAGCCTTTACATGAGAAAACTTCTGGAAGGAAATTCACGTGATCGACTGGACTGGATTTGACCAATCAGCATGCAGCTACTAATACGAGAATTTTCTATCCTGTTCTCCAAGCTTCGATCAGGCGCTGATTGGATAGGAAATTAGCCAATCAGCGCGTAGTGACGTAATCATGCGTTAAATCCATCTATGTCCCACTAACAATCTTCATACCCTAGTCTTGTTTATTAACGTTAATACCTCTACTATCTTTATCACTATGAGATTTGATTTGACGTTTGCGTCTCTGTGCTGTGGTATGGCAACATGAACTTATGTACATACGTACGAAGTTCTACGTTACATTTGACTGACTGACGTGTGCGATAGAAGAGCCATCTGCGAAGTCCAAATCGTCCAGCTGCGTCTTAGCTGTCCATTGAATACCGTGTTTCCCTCCAGATATTGATGTCTTCATAGTCCAGTCGATCACATGTGTGTATTTTAGTTTTAGTAATTTGTTCATTCTGTGTCGAAGGTAGAGTAACCTGAACATTTTTTTTATTGTGTCCTTTGGGTCATCTTGTAGCTTCTGTACACCAAGTCAATGGATCTCCGAATCAGCATAAAAAGAATAGGTTCTAACCTTACAAATTAAACACTCGAAATACTCCTGTATAAACTTCATAAACCAGATATCCAGATTGGTTTATCAGACTAAACTACTCATCTTAAGATGTTGAATAATTTTTGTAGTTCATGATGTGAGGGTTTTAAGCATGTTGTGTTCTCTAACTGAGATGAAGCTTTAATTTTCTGGACAACATCAATAGTACATGCTTCAATAGACTATACATTATTGATGATAGGATTTAGTGAGAGCTACAATGCTCCTAAAATAGATTCAGACAGAGTAAGTTAAAACGTAACGATGGTAACTGAAATCCCTGCATGATTTTACCGAGCCTAATTCACACCAATAAAACCAGTGTAACTATGGACATAGTTTCACTTACTTTCTTGAAGATAAATTATTTTACTGTTTGTCAGTCAGTCATATGTAACAAAGAGACTAGCGTGAATATACCTCTTCACTAAGTCAGCAACAACGTAGAACTCCGTATGTAAGTACATCAGTTCAAGATACCATACCACATTAGAACAGAAATAGGATTGCTGATTCGAATCCCACAGCAGTGGATGTAGTAAAAGTATTGTCAGTAATCGGAGAGATTAGGGTACGGAGATATTATTCAAGAGGTAAAATCCAGTGAAATGGACTTAAAAAGAGAAAGGTAAAGATGGCGAAGAGTTCAGAAGATTAGCATTCAAGAGAACAAAAAGAATGGTTGCAACTGCACCATCGCAAACGTTTTTAAGCCATGTCATTCAAGGTCTCTAACCATCGGTGACTTTCATCTCGCGGACCCCACCCACCAACATGGCACAGTCCAGTAGGGAGTGACTCCATAGATTTGTGTCATCTTTTGGTCTGGCCGCCGCTAGCTTTCTTTCAGCTTACCCCTTGTTACGCCTGCACGTAAACACGTCATCTTGATATACTTGAACTATTACGAGTTTACCTAGTCGGGAAACGAGAGGATCGAGGATCCGGTGACACGACATACTTCTCCAATCCGATTATCCCGACCCTCATATTTAGTTAAAATAAGAAGACTTGATATGAAGTAGAACCGGTATTCTACAAGCATCCAGAAAGTACGAAGTCCGAATCTAGAAGAGAATAGGGATCTCTGACTAGGGATCCGGGACCGAGCCCTGGTGCTGGTCGTGGTCATAAAACGTTACAAATAATGCGTATTTATACATTTTGGTCGAATAGGAAACAGCATCGAAGTGTGTGACATTGACAGTTAAGACGACCACTAGGAAGCAACATTTTAAGTGACATTTATAATCAGGACAACCAATAAGAAACATTGGAGTATGTGACATTTACATCTAGGACGACCATGAAATTGACCAGCAGGAATTAACCAATAGGAACTGACCAATAATTCTCTTAGGATATTGGATGAATATCCTAACACCTCCCTCTGAAGAAATTGAAGCGACACACGACGGTTTATTTGGATCTGGACTTTTGTTTACTGCTGTCGGGGAGGATATTTCTGGAACGGAGATGAGGGCCAGACTTGGGTACTACTGAGCGGGTTGGCTTCTTCTTATATGCTTGATGGGACCTCTGCTAATTTTAGCTGTTTGAACCAATCTAACAGACTGATTTTAGATCGGCTATCGGAGTGAGCTGAAGTGAGGTGGGCTGGATGTAACAAGGGGCACAGCTACTCTGGTTAGTTGACAGATACAATAGACAACGTCAGATTGACTTGATCCACCATACTCGTGTCATGACGCAGCTTGGTATCAATCAACATTTTCATTAGTTCAGCTGCTGCTCGGGTAATAATTCAAGTTTCATAGGATCAATGTGATCCCATCCCCGTCGCCAAACCCCTATACTACAAAACAGCTCGTTTAGGCAGTCAGTGGTTGGGCATCCGAAACACATGTCCCAAACACCTCAGCTGATAAAGTTTCAATACTTCATTAATTGATCTACCATCCTTACCTAGTACCAGTTTCCTGACAACAGCATTGCTTACTTAATGGTCCCAATGCTTCGAAGACATCTGTAGTCGAAAACCAGTTACCTACAAATGTTCATGGGTATGAAACATGGCTAGTAAGAGTTCACGTCTCCACCTCACTTCAGTACATCAAGACTAGGATAGTATTCGTAATAACGGGGTCAGTAGTGGTAGAAAAAAACTAAGCAAAGAAGATATAGCTTCATGAAATAAAATCTATAAACTGAGGATCTAAGGGAATGATTCTGAACCATTGTCTTTAATCTCTCTCTCTCTCTCTCTCTATATATATATATATATATATATATATATATATATATATATGTATATATATATATATATATATATTGTTGTATAATTTGAAAACTGTTCATTTCAAATAACTATATTCTCTCATAGTCTATTCAAATTTACACTATCTTATTTGATTTGACAATTGTATCTCTGTGTTAATGTGGTATGGCAACATGAACTACTTATGTAGATACGTACGAAGTTCTTACGTTGCAACTGACTGACTGATCATTGTATTGTATTTTTGCATTACCAACTTTAAACTATGTTCTACTGAAATCGACTACAACAAATTATTTCTCGTTTAAATTACATAGAGTAATATACATTTTATTATATATTCATATATCATATCTAATTTTTTTGTTTTTTTAAAGGCTGCTATCGCTGCTGGACTACAAAATGATCCTTTTGTTGAAATGCATCATCTATGGGAAGCTCGTGATCGATTGATCATGGGACCGGCGAAACGTCGTTCATTAGATGATCAAACAAATCGAGTATCAGCATTTCATGAAGCTGGTCATGCTTTAGTCGCATTGTTGACTGCTGAAAGTACACCATTACACAAAGTATGAAAATGATTAATTTTTAACTTAGTTTATTACTGTGTTCTACACCAAAAATTAACTTTATCTCTAATTAGTACACTATTTTAACTGTTACACGATTAACCACTAAACATGAAATTTGCGTTGATAATTATGGTAGTACTGTAGTGAAGGAGAACACCGGTGAGGGCAACCGAATTGTATTTAACGTAAATTACAGAGTTACTCAGTAAAATCGGAAAACCATATCGTAAATCGTTAATTTGCAAAATATCAGTTCATCATATCGAACTGGACTGTTCCTGTTGCAAAACATCAATCCATTGTCGCTATTCATGATGCGTTTCATACAAATTCCATTGTGTTCTAACTCTTCCTTTCTTGATCTTCCCCCCAGACATTACATTTACACTCGCGTTATATACTACTTATAAGTAGCTCGCACCACAGTACTATCCACTTGTACAAACCGTAAAAACGTAATTCACATTTCAGTGTTAGAAATCATACACTTTTATATGAAATCGACGAAAAGTTATTTCTCATCGATCTGGTACGGCAGAGATTGGGGGAGATTCCGCTCTACTTCTCCAATCTCTCTCATACGACTGTGAGTATATAGCCGCGCTGCCGGGGAAGTCCAACAATTTTTTGCGTCAACTTGGATTGTCACAAATCACATTGGCATGTTAATCAAAGATATTTAATAAGCTGAAAATCAATTCAGTTGAATGAACACTAGTGTGGTGCGAGCTGCTTATAAGTAGTATATGACGTGAGTGTCAACGTAATGTCTGGAAGCAGAAGATGGGGTAAGATCAAGAGAAAGGAAGAGTTAGAAAACAATGGAATTTGTATGAAACGCATCATGAATAGCGACAATGGATTGATGTTTTGCAACAGGAACAGTCCAGTTCGATATGATGAACTGATATTTTGCAAATTAACGATTTACGATATGGTTTTCCGATTTTACTGAGTAACTCTGTAATTTTCGTTAAATACAATTCGGTTGCCCTCACCGGTGTTCTCGTTCACTA